GAAGAAAGCTTTATTTTGCTTAACTTCGGTTGAAATCGGCATTGCTAAATATTATAGTACTAAAATCTTCTAGTTACAGTCATACAAATACTTAGCTGAGCGCTTCCTGTTCATCTTGGATGATCCGAGAGAGATCGTCAGGGCAACGGACTTTTAAAGAACGTGAATCTTCTGATCTGCGAAGGAAAATGGTTCCGTTTTTGACCCAGCATAACTGAAAACCAAACCTGGTCTTGAATGACATGGCGTTCCCGTACAACTCCTGCATTCTCGGCGTAAGATGGTCAAGGATTAATATTTTGGACATGTCGTGACTCTCTTCTAAACCAACGTCTCGAGCCACCACACTCGAGGCATGCCTTCTCGCCGCCATGACATTATTTCTCGCGAGTCTCCTTACGAATTTGCAAATGATTGGTTTGGGGTCGGAGCGAGAAGAGTCACGAAAAGGGACTCTGTGAGCGATATCGATGTCGTTAATAGTAATGTTAGCGCCCATGTGATTGAACAGATTAACGCAAAGATTACTGGTTTCGGAGGCGTCTTCATTAGCTTTTAGCTCAGGGACTCCGAGAATTTTGATGTTGAAGGCGTAGCTATAATCTTGTATCTCGTTCACGGCAATCTCCAGCTTCCCGAGGTTTTCCTCGATGTCGTCAAGTCGTTTCCGAATATCATGCAGTTCGCTCTGGAAGCTTGACTCAGAATTATGCAGCCATTCTAAGCTCCTTTCCGTCTCCAGTTGGGCTTCCCGTCCGCCATTAGCTTCTTCTCTGACAACCAACTCTTGAGCACCAACTCGCTCCTCTAGTGATTTTATATCACGTCGAGCAGAATCGAGCATTCTCTTTAGATCCTCATTATTTTTCCTAAGCGATTTGACTTGTTGATGTGACATTATAAGTGCCTAAATTGACTTTCTTGAACGCTTTAAGCAGAGCTTCAAAAAGTATGTCCGACCGTTACGCACACATGCGCAATCCTTGAACCTGAACGGGTTATTTACCATCCATGTTTCATGCAGCATTCGGAGTTTGGCTTTGAAAGGCTTGTTTATGCACTTATCTAGGGGCTGCAACACTGACGTCAGGCCACCGGGAATGACAGCAACATCGACAGTTCGTCTCGCACTGTTCGGTTGCCCGTACATACAAAATGTTATACAGTAGTGACGGCTTATGTCCACGTTTTTATGGCTTACCT